TTTTAAAAAGCGCTAAGTGGCATTGTGCTACTATGATAGCACCGCCGAGTAATCATAGTCAACTTATGTACAGTAGTCGAAGAAATTATAGCCGCACCAAATTTTCACAAGTTTTAAGATATCATTTTTGCTGTTATTTAATTTTGGTTAATGTTTTATAGTTCACTCTTTAAAAATATCCGTATAAATACAAATTTAAAGGCAGTGTCCCACGATTGGGTATATTCCAAAATTTGGTGCAAATCGTATTACAATTGTGTGAACATCCAAATTATTTTTCATTATTCCAATTACGAAAATTAATATGTTGCAATTTTTCAATAGAACATCGCTGTATTGTACCAATCTTTTGACTACAAAAATCAAAATTGTCCCATTGTTTTACCAATGGCCCAATATAAAAATGTACAAATCTGTACAAATGTACCAATCGAGTGACACTGCCTTAAAAATGTATGCAATTTAAAAAAGAGTTCAACAAATTTTCGTTAAAATTTCGAGTTTTTTAATTAAATTCTGAGTATGCAGTTTTGTGGCGCATTGAATTCTAGTAGAATAAAGTATGACTTTCAAATGGCTAAAAATTTCGATTGATTTTTTAGAATTTTTAAATAGTTTGAAATTTGCACGAAAATTTGTTGAATTTTTTTTTTAATATTGCACAAATTTGGNTTTTTATAGTTCACTCTTTAAAAATATCCGTATAAATACAAATTTAAAGGCAGTGTCCCACGATTGGGTATTTTCCAAAATTTGGTGCAAATCGTATTACAATTGTGTGAACATCCAAAATATTTTTCATTATTCCAATTACGAAAATTAATTTGTTGAAATTTTTCAATAGAACATCGCTGTATTGTACCAATCTTTTGACTACAAAAATCAAAATTGTCCCATTGTTTTACCAATGGCCCAATATAAAAATGTACAAATCTGTACAAATGTACCAATCGAGTGACACTGCCTTAAAAATGTATGCAATTTAAAAAAGAGTTCAACAAATTTTCGTTAAAATTTCGAGTTTTTTAATTAAATTCTGAGTATGCAGTTTTGTGGCGCATTGAATTCTAGTAGAATAAAGTATGACTTTCAAATGGCTAAAAATTTCGATTGATTTTTTAGAATTTTTAAATAGTTTGAAATTTGCACGAAAATTTGTTGAATTTTTTTTTTAATATTGCACAAATTTGGAAACTTCGATTTACGCGAGTTTTAATAAAGAATGCACTATATTTTTTTTATAAAAAAATAACAAAAGTTCAATGACAACAAAAATAATACGTTAAAACTTGGAAAAAAGTGGTTCGGCTATAATTTTTTGTCCACTGCACATTAGGTCTAATGATTACTTTTTCTGTGCAAAATTAATTGCAGCTAAAATATTGTACTATTTTAATGTAAGTGGTGCCAACCGTTAAAAAAATTGTAAAGTCAGTAAATAAAATGTGAAAACATGACTTAGCATTCGTAAGACAGACTTTTCCGCGCAATGTTTTTTATGTTCAAATAATGAGTAGTATTAAGTAGTACTCAAAAACATTGTCCAATTAGCTTGGTTTTGACACAAGTTATTTGCTTACCATACTCAACCCCCTCCCCCTTGAAATGAGCTACATAATAAAAGATGTATGTTCATATGTACATAAATGGGCAAATCTAAAAAATAGGTACACCTCCAAAAAAAATTTTTAATTTTTAAATTTGTGAGCACACCTATGTTTTATATATCATTTTATTCGTATTCTCTTAATAAATCGATTAGTATAAGTGTAATTCATTTTAATCAAGTGCTTCAAAAGTTAGAAGAGGAATAAACATGAAATAGAAAATAAAAGAATACGCTGGGTTCAAATTACGTTGTTTAAGTTGTAAATTATGAGCAAAGATTTTGAAAGTTGAACTCACTTAATTGGGACGATATAAATTCAATGGCATCCCCCGTTTTACCAGATTGGCTCCGGTTTTCGAGATAACGCTATTTGAAAATTTTATCAAATTTTAACTATTTTATAAATAACTCCCTCAGTTTTGAAGTTATTTTACTAAAATTTTGCACATAACGGTTTTTTAATATTACCTTAATTATTCCTTAAATTATCGAAATGGGTGCACTTTAACGTATAGCTCCAATACAACTCAGATATGTGTTTTTGCGCTATAACTCTAACTTCATATCTGATTAATAAAGTGTATGCGTGCTATATGTTAAAGTGAACCTATACTAAATTTTTACCTATTTAATTGGAGGAGTTATAACGCAAAACAGCATCTCTGGACAATCAGTTGTATGGGAGCTAGATTTTAGAGTGAACCGATTTCGATGATTTTATGAGATAGTGAAGGAAATATTAAAATACAAGCGTGTGCAAAATTTTAACAAAAAAAACTTCTAAACTGAGAGTTTTTTTATAAAATAGTTCAAATATAAGCAAAGTTTCAAGTACCGCTATCTCCAAAAGTGGAGACAATCGGGTAAAACTGGGGACGCCATTGAATTTAAAAGGCTCCAATTAAGTAAGAGGAACTATCAGAACCTTTGTCGAAAAAAATTTGATTTGATACCACGCTCGAAATATTCTGACTACAAGAAGGAGCGTTATTAAAAGTACTAGATTGGGGTTTTTACACACTTCTAGAGAACATTTTTTTGAAGCATTTTACAGGTATATGCCACGTTATAAGGACTACTAGTTATAAAAATCTTTAGATCGTTTCGACGTATTTTCCAAATGTACCTTCAATTTAGATATTTTTGGAATAAAAATTACGCTCAAGATCGCAGAATATTTTATCTTTAAAAGTTGGTTTATTCTGAAAGCACACCTCTTGCTAAGGTATCAAATTATTCGTAATTGTTTGTAGAATACAACACATACTTGAAAAGTTCTTAAAATTAAATGCTTCAAAAACTATACGCGATAAACCGAAAAGTTTGAAAATTGTGAAATGTGGAGTTACAGACTTTGACTTACTTTCCATTTCGTTATTTTGTAATGCACACTTTTCTTAAATACTACATATGAAGTATACACATAAGTGCTAAATGCCCATTAAATTNGACACTTTTCTTAAATACTACAAATGAAGTATACACATAAGTGCTAAATGCCCATTAAATTTCAAGTCAGAATATGGTGTGCTTCAAAAGTAATGACATAATTAATTTTGCCCCTCTTAAAAATTACATAAAAAATTCACTTGTTTTCATTATTTTTTTTTTTAATTTAAACACCTATAATTCAAAAGTTATGCAGCAAATTCATCCAAATTTTTTTGAGGCTTCAAGTATACGTCAATGAATTATATCCAAAAGCAACCAGCTTGATATAGTTTCCAACAGTGAAAATAAAGCTAAATAACACCAAGGTTACCTGTTTTTTAGATTTGCCCAAATGATTTCATCTAGCCATTAATTATGGCATTATCGAAATTCGCAAATTAAAAAAAAAAATTACTACAAGTCTCGCAGATATGCCTTGAGGAGAGATTCATAAGGCAGTTAGTCTTCATAAAACACTTCATTTTCACTTAAGGTTTCAGTATTCCCCAATTCTCCACCGATATTATTTTATACAGTTTTTTAAACTAATTTCTGATGGGGATGTGAAAAACATCGATGTATCGAGCAACATCGATGTCGTGGCTTCAAACATCCATGTTCGTCGATGTTTTTACGAATCCGATGTTAAATCAAAACATCGATGTTTTGAAAAACGTCGAAGATGTTTCTTGACTTATTTTTCACCATTTCATTTTGTGCGAGCTTTAAAATTTTGTTCCAGCGTTTAATAGTGATTAATAAGTACTATCGTGGAATCATGCCCAAGTATGTTTCTTTAATAAATTCCCATATTACATCTAATAAATGTTCATATATATATACGTATATAAGTAAGAAATACTTTAATTAGCTTAAGTATGTAGTGTACATATGTGTTAAGCTACATGTATTACCCCTGTGGGGAAAATCTCTAGTTCTGAACTGGTGCGCTTCTAGTACATTTAGACCCAGTACTGGTTCCCAATAAATCTCTTTTACATGCAAGCAACTGGCGAATTTAACATGGCGATGTTCTAGGAAGTGTCAATTGCCACCCGCTGCATCCCTTTTTCGATAGTTCCGAACTAGTCCTAAATTCTATAGTTCCGAACCAGTTCTGAAATCGAAAGACGAAAGAAAAGAGTATCATGATTTTTCAATCTTTTTGGTTCTTCCGTGTGTGTGATTTTAAGTTATTTTGGAAGAAATGTGTTTTCAATTTGAAATTAAATTTGTTTGAATGATTGTAAGAAATGTACGTTTACATACCTTTAGCTGTAGCTGAGTTTGCAGAGGTGCTCGCTGTTATTTCTTAGATTCCAGACGGTCGCAATATGTTGAAATGTTAACACAAACTTTAGTTTTGTATTACCGAGCTATGAAAAAGCATCTGCGAAGCGCAGAATGGAAGCGTATTGGAACGAAAAAGCCGCCGAACACATATCTATGTAAAGTAAACAAGCCCCCCGCTGCATCCCTTATTCGATAGTTCCGAACTTGTTCTAAATTCGACAAACAAGATCTAGTTCGTTCTGCATCCCTTTTTCTATAGTTCCGAACCATTTCTAAATTCGTCACTTTAGATATCGATTTCTAGTGAAAAAAACTGAAAAAAATTAGTATTTTAAAAGTACCCATTTTCGCCGATTTCGGACTGGTGGAGATCTAGTTCATATCGGTCTAGTTCCTTTTTGGGGATAAAGACCTAGTACGGAACTAGAAATTTGATTCACTAGTCCGCGGTTTCCCTGCAGGGACGACAGAGATTCTAATTCATGTTAATATTTTAGAGTTTGATAAACTGGTTGCGGGCTCAGTGAAATTTTATTTAACTTTCCTTACAATATTTGTGTAATGAAAAATGTAAATATATCGTCACCTGAAATGCGAAAAGACGTAACAACATTGTAACTGAAATGGAAAAGGTAGTGCCTAATTTTTTTATTTTTTTCATTAAAAGATGTGGGAGTTTTAATTCGATGAAATCCATTTTTGAACTTTGAACTGAATTTTGAATTTTGTATTAGTTACGGCTTTTTGAATTTCAACGGCGATGTTTATTACGTCTTTTTGCATTTCAGGTGTTATGTGATCAAATTTTTACTTTACAATTGCTTTGTAAACCACCTCTCTGAGTCAATATGACAACAATAAGAAACAGTAATCTTTAAATTAGAAAAATCTGTAAAAACATCGATGTTTCCATTCGAACATCCATTCGAACTGCCATCGATGTAATTTTTCGAAACATCGATTCTTCAAACATCGATGTTTTCACCGTAATTTACATCCCTAATTTGTGAAAACAATGTTCAAGGCTCTATTGGGCAAAAAATTCGAAATAGCATTGCGTAGATTCTCAATGATTTGCCTTTTTGCGAAGGCTTTTCATCAAAAGTCTTTGCGAATCGGTGCGAGTGTCTTTGTAATTTAGCCATGGCTACGCTACAGGAGATGAAATGTAATCCAAATTGAGGCAAATCTATTTTTGGCGAAAAGCTGATAAAATGTAAGGTTTCGCATTTTAGCATATTTTAGCCATAACGAAAGTTAGAATCCGGCTGCGGGTCGACACAGTTGGCTTTTTGATTTCGAAAAGCACTTCATCAGAAAGAAACGCAATGTTTTCAGATCTAAATATTTCAGCATCCTTTCTAAATTGTTTTCCACAATTTTCGTCCTTCTTTCATAAATAATTGCAAAAAAGAAGCGTTTTTTCTTCTAAGAGTTTCGTGGAACTTTCGGACTGAATATATTTTTTATATCTTTAATTGAACATGCACACTGTACATAAAGGAAGTACATAATCAAATTAAAAATATATGTATTTTTTTCCTTTTTTTGAAAGCTCATTTTGCCTTTTTTCACTACGTGTTCCTAATTAATCAATCTTTGTATATTTATTGATTCCTGCAAAATTGGCCCATGTAATGGGCTGTTTTTGCTTACGCGTAAAAGCACATTTAGCGCATTTAGCTCTAAACGCTACTCTAAATGTACATTTATCCGTACAAAATTCGTCACCTAAATGCAACTAAATCGAACTCCATTTTTGCATTAAGAATCTACATAAATGCTAAAAGCAACCCTGTGATCTTCCAAAATTTCCACCATTCGAACATGGTTTAATGAGAAAAAGTGGCAATATTGCTTTTTCGCGTATACAGTTTCTAGTTCCGTTTCAGTGAACGCCAATCAAGATTTCATTTATTATTTTACATTATTTGGAAAAAGAAAAGTGGCGCAAATTCCACATTGATGTGATACTGATTGGAAGCTGGCTCAATTTGTGATCAACTCTGATTATTGTTTTCCTATTTAATTGAGGAAATTTCAGTTGACAGCACCGACAAATGAATATATACACAAACAATTTTTCGGCTATGGTTAAAACAATTCAAGTTTTTGTATTGAATTTTTTGTTCAAAATTTTCAGTAGGGTTTTTGCACATTATCTTCTCTGTGCGAATTGATCGTGATAGATACGGATCTGAATAAGCGACAGGAACACGGCTGTTTGTCAAAAGCTCGCGTAAATGTACATTTGCTAAATGCGATAGCATGAACGCTCTTCGAAAACATATGTTCGAAAATGCTAAATGTTGAAATTTTAATGCAGCAAAACCGCTGCATTACTGTAGTCAATCAGTGGCAACAAAAATCACGTGAAGGTAACAGTGGTCACACACGACGAACATGTGCGCGAGCATGCTCGGCTTACAGTGTATGTTCGTCGTTTGTGGGGCGGCTAATGCAGCGTTTTTGCTGCATTTAAAATGCAACATTTAGCACTTTCGAACATATGTTTTCGAAGAGCGTTCATGCTATAGCATTTAGCAAATGTACATTTACGCGAGTTCGAAATCGTATGCTTTTGACAAACAGCCGTGTTCCAGTCTCTTATTTAGATCCGTATATATTACGATCAATTCTCACGCAGAAGATAATGTGCAAAAACCCTACTGAAAAGGAAAAAATAAATTTTAAACCTAAAATTCAATACAAAAACTTGAATTGTTTTAACCATAACCGAACATTTGTTTGTGTATATATTCATTTGTCGGTGCTGTCAATTAAAATTTCCTCACTTAATTAGGAAACAAACCAAACAGAGTGATCACAAATTGATCCAGATTTCTATCAGCATCACATCGAGGTTGAATTTGCTTAACTTTTCTTTATCCAAATATGTAATGTAAAATAAAAGAAATCTCGATCGGCTATCACTGAAACGCAGCTAGCAACTGTATACTCGAAAAAGCAATGTTGCCACTTTTTCTCTTTAAACCATGTTCGAATCGTGGAAATTTTGGAAGATCACAGGGTTGCTTTTAGCATTTAGATTCTTAATGCAAAAATGGAGTTGCATTTAGATGAACAATTTTGTATGGATAAATGTACATTTAGAGTAGCATTTAGAGCTAAATGCGCTAAATGNTGTACATTTAGAGTAGCATTTAGAGCTAAATGCGATAAATGTGCTTTTACGCGTAAGCAAAAACAGCCCATAACGAGCATGTTCGCCAAAAATCAAACAATTTTGATTTTCAGTGAGCATGTTCATCGTTTGTGGCGTGGTTTGCGAGATTGGAAACAAAAGCAACAACCTAAATTTGTGTTGATGCTTGCAGTGTGCACATCGCACATAGGGGTATTTGAACAATTTAGGCGGCCATAAACCAATTTGACAAAATTTTAAGGAAAACTTAAAAAATTAGTCACATTCGATAGAGAACATTCCAAATAACANACGAGCATGTTCGCCAAAAATCAAACAATTTTGATTTTCAGTGAGCATGTTCATCGTTTGTGGCGTGGTTTGCGAGATTGGAAACAAAAGCAACAACCTAAATTTGTGTTGATGCTTGCAGTGTGCACATCGCACATAGGGGTATTTGAACAATTTAGGCGGCCATAAACCAATTTGACAAAATTTTAAGGAAAACTTAAAAAATTAGTCACATTCGATAGAGAACATTCCAAATAACATTTCCCAGTCCCCCTCCATTTTCTAACTTGAACAGCGAACGCTCACCGTTGACCGGAAACAGAATATTCTAACGCTGCTTATAAATAAATTTTCGCTCCCTGGAAAGATCGTGACGGTTTTAAGTTAATATTTTGATTTCTGCATTGTATTCTTAAAAAGTAGTGATGGATCCACATACAGAAGGTAATAGTGCATTTAAGTGTTAAACCTTTTTTAATCAGTTTGTTTAGCAAAAGTTCAATTTAAATGTAACGAAAATAGCGGTTTTCAACGAGTATTTTTTTAATTTTTGTTGATTATTAAGGAATTTGTTGTATGCCCGGGAGAGATCACGTTATTATTCTTTGTTCAGTTGAAAGTTTATAAATTTGGCTAGTGTAGTGTGAAAAGATTGCCCGCAGAAAATGACAGATCAGTGTTATTTCTTTACTTAGAAAATGTATTCAAGAAACAACTAAAACGCAACTAGTATATAGTAACACTACTTTAGATTTATTTTAACACTAAAAATTTACTTTTTAGATGAATTTGAGGCCGCCAAACCAGAATATGAATCCATGTAATTAGAAATGGGGTGCAATGGGGTATACATAGTCGTTGTGCTGGATATGCAGTTACTGTCGCACGGCTATACTCAATCCCGAATCTTGCGTCCTCGATCGCGCACTCTGGGTAACGTGAGCAACCCATGTGCGAGATGCGGTAACCAATCCGAGTGGAGCCTTGGGTCACGGCAGAAAGAGAGGGAGCTTTGGTGGGGCCACTCCGACTTATTCGGTTTAAGGGCTCACGGAAGTCTGCAGCGTCTGTTCACCAGTAGGTGCGGCTGCAAGCGGGTCTCTGTCTTGGAGCAAGCGGCTTGCTTTATATACGTGCATTCGGTTACGAAACCACCCCCGTCCCAACAATGGGTTGTGCGCTGGCCACGTAAAAACAGGCTCCAATGAAAAAGAGATACAAAGCCTCGGATGAGAACCCCCCTTTTAATGACGACCACGGCAATCGATTAAAGGACTTGAGGGCATGCACCTGGAATGTCCGGACCCTTAATGGGGAAGATGCCTCTGCCCGGCTGGTTGATGTCCTCGTAAGGACAAAAGCTGACATCACCGCCTTCCAATAAATGTGTTGGACTGGGCAAGAGCAACAAATGTCTGGGGCCTTGCGACGTATACTACAGCTGCCATGTAAAGGAGCGCAAATTTGGTGTTGGATTGTACGCCGAGTACTGTCGTTCACCCCGGTGGACGAGCGTCTAGCCATAATCCGCTTCAAAGCGAAATTCTTCAACATCTCGCTGATCTGCGCCCATGCCCCGACGGAAGAGAAGGATGAGGTATCCAAGGATCTCTTCTATGAGCGCTGCCCCCGTCATGATATCAAAATCGTGCTTGGCGATTTCAATGCCAGGGTGGGCAAGGAAGGGATCTTTGAAATCAC